GGGGCCCGGGGCGGCCTGTGCTGGTGGCGGCCGCAGTGTCCGGCAGCGGCGGCGGGAGCGGCGGCGGGGCGGTGTCCGCGGGCCTGTCCCGGCTCAGCTGCGCAGCCAGGCCCAGCGCCGGCGTAGGAGGGAGCAGCTCCAGCCTAGGGAGCGGCAGCAGGAAGCGACCTCTGCTTGCCCCCCTGTGCAACGGGCTCATCAACTCCTACGAGGACAAAAGCAACGACTTCGTCTGGTGGGTTGGACGAACAGCCTCCTCGCCCTCTCTGCGTTAGGAGTTTCTGCTTTTGGGGCTGCTGGGGTCCGGGGTGAAGGCGGTCTGTTGGGCGCTGTGGCGGTGTCTGCAGAGGCATTCGAGCGTTTGCAGCGGTTGGTGGGCTGAGGTGGGGGAATGTTGGAGTCCTGAGGCAGGGTTGGAGTACTAAAGAGGTCAGTGCTGGTGGGGAGAAGTGAAGGGAGTTTAGGGAATAATAAGTAGTGGGGGGGAGATGAAAGGCCAAATAAATGGCTGTGCATAAAAGGGGAAAGCTGGGCACGGAGGTTGGGCCTTGAATTTTCTGCCTCGCTGGTGAATTAGGTACCCTGTCAGTCCGGATTTCTCGTTGAGGTGAATTAAACTTGTAAAGGGAGAGGATTAAGCTTCCCGGGATGCTGAGGGAGGGAGTTGTGGGTCAGAATTTGCTTATTGAAGCATGGTAGATGATGCTCTAAACATGGGTATGGCTGTTTTAAGAAGTGGTATGTGTGTACGTGTAAATTATCTCCTCCCGCTGCAAAATCTGTTGTTGAGGCTCCTGTAGGCAAGAAAGTCTGTTCACAACAACTTCCACCTCTCAACTGAATGTCTTGAGAGAGGGGACCACGTTTATTAAGTATCATCCATGTGTCAGATGTGACTGCACTACACTTGTATTAACACATCAGCGTATACTGGAACTTCGGATTTGAGAAAAGCTGGGAATTAGACGTGTTGTCATCGTAGTTAGCATCTTGAATGCTACGCAGTAGTCCTCAGTTATGACATTTGGCATAGAGGGATTATACACATTAAGTGAAAGATGGAGTTGATTGTCTTGCTTGAGAGTGTTTCGATTTTCATTGGGTTTTGTGTTCAAAATCCAATTCAGATGGTAAGATTGCAAGAAAGGATTTGCTTTTAGCTGAGTGAGAACTGGTAGGATTTTGTGCTTTTCCTCTGGAGGAAATTGTTGATAGAATAGAATACTAGTGATGTAGGAAGTTGGCTTGCACTGTCACTATATGGGAAGTTGATTCACTTCAGGGTTGAAGATGGTCCGAGTTGTCATTAAATATGATAAGACTAGAAGTTGGGACTGTAGGAAAGTTATTGATTAGACTTATAGTTTCTAGTTCTTGCAGTAAAAATATCTTTATTCATACTTTTGCTTTTGTCATAGATTATTCTGGATTCAGAATTGATTCATTTTTCACTGAAACTGGGCTATAATTTGTAAATAATTTGAGCAGCTTATCGTTGGGTATAAGATGTGTTTGTGTTCATAGCCAGTAGAGAATCCCATAAGATAAAGTAGAAGCTAATGAAACAAAGTGAGGGTTTGCACAGTTTGTCTTTTTAGCCACCATTTGCATTTCACTTTTTAGTAGGTTAAAAGAAAACAAACATGCCAGCATCCATATAGATACACTAAGATAGTGTAAAAGGTGTGAGAAAGAAGGAAATTAATCATTCATTCAACAGATATTTCTTTGGCATTCACTGTCTGCCAGGCACTGTATGCATTTCATTATACTTACTATAAGCCATTTTATAGGAGATTGGAGAGGGATGGGAGAGTATAAGCAGCTGGCACTAATTTTTATTGTTCAGGGGTAAGATTATTAACATTTTTATTAGTCTGTCAACTAATTTTTAAAAATTAAAATCCGGTCTCTTCAGTCTTAACGATGTTGTTTAGATTTTTCTGCTTTTTTTTTTTTTTTTTGCGGTATGCGGGCCTCTCACTGTTGTGGCCTCTCCCGTTGCGGAGCACAGGCTCCGGACGCGCAGGCTCAGCGGCCGTGGCTCACGGGCCCAGCCGCTCCGCGGCATGTGGGATCTTCCCGGACCGGGGCACGAACCCGTGTCCCCTGCATCGGCAGGTGGACTCTCAACCACTGCGCCACCAGGGAAGCCCTTTCTGCTTTCTTTTATATTCCAAGTGGAAGTGTCCAGTGAGAGTCATGAGTTAAAAATTCCGAATATTTCACTTTCTAAGAATCTCATAGTCCTCTGTTTCTTTTTCTGGTGAGGTTGAATATTCAGAAGAATTCATTAATGGAAATCAGTTTTCCTGATTCTCCAGCTAGATTTGATTTGGCCAAGCATTTGGGGTGGGAAGGTGAGGATTAGGCAAGGTCCAAGGAATCCTTTTCATTTCTAATTGGCTCTGGGTGGTTGGTCTTTTCTGCTTCAAGGTCAAACTGTGAACCAATCCAAATTAATCTAAGCTTTTACATCTGAATGAGGCTTAAGTTTGAATAATGATAACAATTCCTTATTCATCATATTTTAAAGATATGTTTATACTTCATGTTTCATTTTATCCTAGAGAAATTCTGTGAAGTTATATAGAACTTCCAACTTTATATAATACTAATATAATTGTATTCTCATTGAGGTACAGAGAAGTTAAGTAACTTGGTTTCAGATTGGATAGCTCAAGGACAAAATTAAAACGCATATCTCCCAATTCTCAATTTAGTGCTTTCTTTGTATGGAATTTAAAAATTTCATATCTGTAAGTTGAAGTACATGTATTTAGCCTCGTGGTTCTTAAATGTGGTAGAGACTGAAGGGAAACAGCTGTTTCATAATCACAGGAGATAAATGTCTTTATCTTTAACTACTCTCTCCCCTTGCCTGTCTGCTTGCCCATATCCCAACAGGACAAAACTGAATTGGAGGCTGGAGTGGGCAGTGTAGTTTGCAGAGGCTCCCTTGGTAATAAAGACATGTCCTCTTCCCCTCCTTGAGAATGGTTGATTTAAGGTCAAATGCCTAATTATCAGTAATACATATTGGCCTCTCCTGACTCATATTTGAAAGTAAGTTTATATTTAATTGCAGAATTGATGAACATTTTAGGGATTTATAGTTTTTACTTTAATATTTCTTTCAAACAAAGGATTGAAAGTATCGTCAAGTTGCAGATAATTCTAACAGTGTTTTATAGATGGAGAATCTGTAGTACAGTAGAGAGTAGTATATAGCTTGAAGTTGGATAAATCTCTGACATTCAAAGGAAGTCTTTGTTACTTTGATTTTTCAAATTTTTCTTACATGATTCGTTTAAATTACGATTCATTTAAATTCGTTTAAATTACGTTTAAATAGTCTATGTTTGGAAGACAATTTCTTTCTTTTATGTTATCACATTACTACTGCCTCTGCATTAGCTTTTCCAACCCCCTGAAATAACCTTTTCTACCTCTTCAAGTCCCAGATACTCTCTGAGTTGTAGCAGAAATAAGTATTTTTAGGTAGATAGTAAGCCCCTTGTGGGAAGGTTACCTCTGCCTGATAAAATGTAGGTAGAATCTACATGAATTCCATCTACCATTTAATAAATTCTCATGTCAGCTATTAAAAATGGACTATCCTGAAGGAGCTCACGATTTAACGTGAAGAAAGGCTTTTAATCACATAATTATAGTGTCACATCCTGGCATTATTGCTTCTCTTAGTACCATGGCAGATACTAAATACTCTTCTGAATTCAGATGTTGTCTCACGGTCCTCAACATAGCACTGCAGGCAGCCACTACCTATTAATTACATTTAGCCCTAAAGATGAAATCTGTTGACTATTCTTGCTACTATAACTGTTTTCCGAACTATTAAAAAGTGAAATAAAATAGCAGGTATCATAGAACCTGTCATTATAAAGATAGTTTGGTGAAACTTTTGTTACATATTTATGTACAATTTATAAGTACTTACTGGGTATGAAAAGATAGTTTGATGAAACTTTTGGTTACATATTTATGTACAATGTATAAGTACTTACTGGGTATGAGGCCTCAGTTTAGTTTAAGTATGGGCTTTTGGCTCAAAGCTCAGTTCGTATAGTTAGTAATGGTGGTATCAGTATTTATATCCAGACGTTTTGGCTCAAAGCTCAAGTTCTTAACCACTATATTGCTTTGCCCTTCAGAGGCTGGAGATTTTGTTTAAAATCAGCTTTATTAAGATATAATTTGCATACCATAGCAGTCACCAGTTTTAAGTGTATAGTTCAATGAATTTGACAAATGAATACATCTATGTTACCACCCTAATTAAGATACAGAACATTTCCATCACACTAGAAAGTTCAGTGTGCTACACCTTTGCACTCTGTCTTCGAACCTCATTTCTGACACCTGGCAACTGCTCATATGTTTTCTATCAATATAGTTTTGCCTTTTCTAGGATTTTATATTAATGGAGTCATTCAGTATGTAGACTTTTGTGCCTGACTTCTTTTATTTGGAGTAATGTTTTTGAGCTTCAATAATGTTGAATGTCTCACTAATTTTCTTTTAATTTCTGAGTAGTATTCCATTACATGGATATAACGTGATTTCTTTATATACTCATCAGTTAAAAGATATTTTAGTTTCTTTGTTTCTAAAGTTTTCAGTGATTGTAAAGAAAGCTGTTGTAAATATTCACATTCAGGTTTCTGTGTGGACCTGTCTTCACATCTCTTGGGTAAATACATAGGAGTGTATTGCTGGGTTGTATTGCCAAGTGTATATTTAGCATTATAAGAAACTGCAAAACTGTTTTCTAAAGTGACTATCATTTTGCATTTCTACCAGCAATGTATGAGTTTCAGTTCAACATTCTTGCCAACACTTGCTGTTTTCAGTCTTTCAAATTTCAGTCATTCTAGTAGGTGTGTAGTAGTATGTTATTGTCATAATTTGCATGTAAGTCCTAAATATTGTGATGTTTTCTCCCAGTCTATTGTTTTCTTTTTAGTTTTCTGAGCAGTCTTCTGAAGTGCAAAAGTTTAAAATTTTAAGTCCAATTTATGGACTTTTTTCTTTTACAGTCTATGACTTTTGTGTTCTATCAAAGAAATTGTTGTCTAAGTCTTCTTGTATATTCTAGAAGCTTTATAGCTTTTTTGTGGTTAGGTATATAATCATTTCATGTTAATTTTTATATACTGTGTGTGGTAAGGGTTGGAGATTTTTTCCCTCCACTGTAGATGTCCAGTTATTGTA